ACTGTGCCTGCACAGGAGGCATCTTGGAAGGTTCATGAAAAAGTCTGTTGGAGCATATTTGAGATACTGAAATAACTCCCTGTTTTTCTAGATGCTAAGCACTAGAAAATCTGTTTAATCACAGTAAGAGTTAAAGAAACTGAGCATTTTCCAGAACTAGCCCTGTATTCTGTTTGCCTTCAAGGTGAAAGAGAGGAGACAGCAGTATTGGGACAGGCAACATGAGTAAGAGAGGAAAGTAAAAATTTACAGTTGGAAGCCACCCATGGACAAACTATGCTATGACCTGGGACCTGAAAATTGGGATGGATAACTAGAAATCACATGGCAAATGGAAATGCTGTAATAAAAACACACAGAAAAACAAGAAAAACGGAAGTGTGAGCAGGGTGAGTCTTCCAAAGTTCTCAAAGTATTTGAATCAGGCAACCATGCAGGTTTTTTTCTTTCTAGGTCAACTGAGAGGTAACACATATGCATTTCAGGTATGTTGTAATGTAACATAGATTCTGAAAACAATTTTGATTGTTTTGTTTCTAAGTGACCGGAGATTGTCTGCCCCATGTTGACTGGTACCCAGAACTCGTATCTGTTACCTTTCCAACAAGGTACGCCAGTGCAGATTCGAAGCACGGGTAACCTTCTCGAGGATGCACAGGTACTCATGCATTCCTTTATCTTCATGACACAGAAAACTGCTAATTCTCTCACAAAGAACTTTGGACCATTGCATTCCCTTCAAACATCTGAGTTTTGTTACAAAAAAAAGGCCACTTGATTTCCAGTGTAAGAATTAAATTTAGCAACACAAAAGCCGATTAAAATATATTTTACAGGTACTCTGTGTGTGTGTGTGTGTGTGTGTGTGTGTTCAGATTGTGGCAGATTTATTGCTATCGACTTTTAGATATAAAATAAAGACAGACAAAACATGTTAAGTGTTTCAGTGAGGAATGAAGCTGGCTCTTCTTCACTTATGTGAAAACATAAGATTAGGGTTGTTCTTGTACAAATAAAGATATCAGATTTATTTTTACAACAGCCATGGCCCTTCTCTCATGAGTGGCAGACACACAAATGATGTCAGTATGTATGACTAACAACTAAAAATAAAGCAGATATTTTTGTACAGGCTACGTAATATCCTATTAATACAAGACCATTTTGTTTAGTTTACATTCATTTGGACCTTGCCCATTCACAGCTTTCTCTGAGCAGTTTCCTTCTATCATATCCTGGGAACTAGTCTCACTCATGCACTTCTAGCAGTTCTTGAAAGAAAAAAAAAAAATCTGTCTCATCTTCATCTTTTCATCAAGAATTTAGGAGTTCATCCCTCTCCGTGACCCTTCTAATTCTATCAAGTTAAAAAAGAAAATCCATAAAAACATTTCCCAACTAATCCCTTCCTCTAATATGTTGTTCTGGGTTTTTATCCCTGTAATAAATGCCTTGCTACATCTTTACTGTGATTAGTCTCATGGGATGTACATGTGATGAGCATCTCCTAGCACTGCACAGAGTGAGTCGCTAAGCCCCAAACAGGCACGTGTACCCCCAGAAAATCAAAACCTCAGTGCTGACTGGATCATGGTCTTGCTATGCAGGTCTCTAGAAGACACAAAATATATCTGGTGCCAAGTGGAATTTCTGCTCAGAAAAAGAAAAATAGCAGGACATCCTTATAGCCAGTGGTTCTGCCACACGCACGGCACACAAGAAGTCCTAAGGATTGTAAGAGCTCTACTGCCTGTGCTTTTGGGTGATGGAGAGGCAGCCTACCAGTCTCTCACATGGGAGTCATTTTTTTTATTCTGTATCAGTAAGAATTGTGTTTTGACTGAAATGGGGGTGTGAATCCAGATGTAATTGAACCTGGATTTTTGTCACATATGCTAAGTTTTAATGGCTTCCTCAACACTGTTATCCAACTGAGACTTTTTTAAAGGACCGTCTTTTTACCTGGAACTCTTCCTTCGCTGCATGACCTTGTTGTGTTCATTCTCACGTATTTTTTGTGACATTTGAGGAGCCACTGATGTGGTAACATGAAATAAGATTTGATCTGGTTCTGAAGGTTCTTCCTTTGATTAGCAATGGGAGTCTGTCATACAGTGTTCCAGCCTTGCCACACAAATAGCCTTAAATTACACTCCACAAGATTTCATTCTAAGTAGTAACACTGACAATCCCTATGTGCACACCATCTTTTTCCAAACTTTTTCTAAAAGCAGACTGACATGTATAAATATCTCACCAGGCTTTACTGCATCAAAGTTCTATAAAATGCTCTAGAACAAGTGTGCCTGCAAATGGTAGACCTCTACCAGATTTTAATTCAATGTGAAAATCATATACTTCAAGCTGAAAAAATAATCCCTGCAGGGATGATTTGATGCTGGATGGGCATGTCCTGCTTTTTCTAACAGTAATACTTAATTTATAGTCAGTTTCAATAAACATAAGTTTTTCCCTATAAACAAAGATGCAAATCTCACAGGCCAGGCACAACCTCATTTTCTGTTTCAGCATTTTGACATTCATGGGTTAGTGTCCCCCACAAAAATCATTGGTCTCAAGTTCAGATCATACTATTGTAAAAAGACTTGAAAAGCAGACTAATTTCTTCTTGCATTGCTTTCCAATTTCTGTCATAATAACCAAGGGCTCCTGAACTATTTCTTTCTTTAATATTAAACTCATCAATGACATTTAAACTCCTTCTTCTCGGGATGTTTTTGCATATAATAGTCTCAGATTCTAATGTAAACAAGCAGCCAGATAACAAACGCCCTTACAAAATTCAGCATCCTAAGCAACCTGTTGCACTGTTTCGTCTTTTGTCGGGGAACACATTTTCTGCCCTGTCTTTCTCCAGAACTGGCTGGAGTCTCTACAGTTTTATTCTGGTAACAAGAATCAGTGTATATCTTACAACCTCTACATAAACAAAAATATTGCTACGCCTTTAAATCCAACAAGTCAACTGAACACAGTTGTGCAGGCATACAACTTCCCCCAAAGAATATATGATGGTGCTCAACCATACTCATTCTTTACCTGTTGGCACCTCCTAGATCTCTGTGAACGCATTCAGTGTAGAAAGTTATGTAGTACCACTCATGGCCCCCAAAATTGTGTCCTTTGTAGGTACTGGCAATTCTTCCTGGTGGTGTTAACTTTTCTGAGATTATGAATAAGCAGAGTTCTGGGGTGTGCTTAAGCCCCTCTTTTTTTAATCTTTTTTTTTTTTCTCACTGTAAGCAACATTTTTTTCCTTCTAACTGACCAACAAGCATCTTTCTCAACTGTTTTGTTTGTCCACTCTTCCACCGAGAACTCCATATAGAAGACACCAGGCCTTCACAATTTAACCCAAGAACCATTATTTTTTGTAAAGGTAAGAAAAGATCACATTTGCTTTTCATTTGCTTTACATTTTTGCGTGACAGTTACTCATAATGTAGCTTCACCTCTCTCTGGATGTACCCATTCTTTTGACACTTGAAGGCTTTTCTGAAGTGGCATTACGCATTACTTCTCTCGCATTTATTCTCATATAGTGGGTGCTTGCAAAGCTGGTTCCCAAATCATGCAAAGCTCTGTCAACTTCGTTTGAATTTGAAGATGACTTCTGCTTTTCATGACTTGAATTTTATTTGATATCTGGCATTCCAAACAAATTCTATAAACTCAGAGCTTTGCTTGCCCTCTATTCATTTTACTCTAGCCTAGATAACTTCCATTAGCTGCGAACTTCTGTAATGTTTTGGAGTGGTCATATGGGCTCTTCCGAAAGTTCTTGTGCACTATTTTCTTTAGCTTATAATCATTGCTTCCTACCTGATCAGGGTGCAATCTCCCAGACTACAAAAATTATCTTTTGAGCCCTACAGACATCACCAGCTCTCCTAGGTTTAACCTTCCTCCTTCACCCTTGCATTTAAAATTAATCTTGCAAATGTTTTAAGTGCAGCATTCTTCAGATTTCTGTCCTACACCTTCTGAAGGCTTAACAAAAATTATTAAACCCACAAAAGCTTCAGAATCAGACACATCCAAAAATAAAAATACAAAAATACTTTCTATAGCTCCCCATTTTTTTTTCCAACTACTGTTTGCAGGCTCAAGGGAGGAGATATTTGAAGTTTTCCTTTGTAAGATAAGTAGTTTCAGTTGCAAAGAAATTTTCAGCTGCTTAACACTTTTTATTTAGGACACTGAATTTATTCCCTGTTATTTGATTTCCAAACTGGTATTAGGTTTGTACGGACTGAGCAGAAAGTCTTTTTATTCCATGACCAGTTTTACCTGGATGTGCAAAACCACAGCTGAAACCACATAATAATTCACCCCTCGGAAGGTCAGTCCAGTACAACACGTTGCCCGCTTTCTCAGCCATACCTGGATGTACTTAGCACCTTCAGGATCGTAACACAACGTTTGGCCTTGATTTTAATATATTCTTAGTTGCAAAGTGCACCAGTGGACAGAAATTATACATTCTCCGCCAACCCTCCTCCCCAAAATATTTACAGTAGGTTCCTACCTACCCTACTTAAGTCTCACAAGGGGACGACTTCTACTTAACCAATAAATTGTTCCTTGAGGAAAGGGCTTGAGACAGACTTGAGCTTATCCTTGTTTCCTTCCTGAGCTGCTTAGATAGCTGACATGGTTACAACCTTTTAAAGCCCTGGAGTTGTCTTTCTATAATGACTACAGAAGCAAATTACATGCTCTGTGTAAAAGACAATGCTGCTATTACTGCACATATTTCTGAATTTTAGTAGTACTTTGAAGTCACTTACAGTTAAAAAGGCAGCTGAATATGTATTGGTTACAAAATAGAGCTAGGAGCAAAATACCCTGTAAAGAAACAAATGCATAAAAGCACTTGTACTGAACAGATTTTTTTCCCCCGAAAACAGGAGAATTTTAAAATAAAATTTCCGCCTAGCAGAAGAAAAATGTTTATTCTGAATTAATTACATACTCACCTTTGACTCTATCTCCTTTGTGCAGATGAATTTCCCCTTCTCCTTGAGGTTGATATGGCTTTACAACAATAAAAAGTCTTCCAGGTACAGCACTGTAAAGCTTGCGTTTTGGACCCTGATAATCCAAGGCAGACAGAGTATCCTTGTTGGCACTAGGATTGTAAACGGCACTGGAAATTGAAATTAAAAAAACATTAACTGGTTATTTAAAACGGGTAAGGTTAATCATTTACCATCACATTAGCAGGATTAAATTAACCAGTGAATAACATAATGGTCGTCCACCAAGACATCTAACCCTGCAGAAAAAAACACACATTTTTCATCCTGAATACATGCTTTTAATGGTTGATAGCTTTCAACATGAAACAGGATCAATGTTAATCTGACCATGATGGCCCAGAAAAGAAAACAGGTAACACTAAAGTTTTCAGGGTTTCTGCAAATTAAACTTGCACATTCACAGACCCTGATGAAGTTTAAAATTGATATGCAGGTCATACATTACATCACAATTTGTCAGAAAGACTTTAAAACATCAGTATTTACAATTACTGTTGGGAATGGATATATTTTTAATATCGTAATGTTAACTGAACAATCAGGACAACTGAATTATTAATTGCATGGACTGAATTATCAAATTACTTATCATTCCAAGGCCTGGAGCTAAACTTTATATCAGCACAAAGTGTGGTTCTTACAGCTAACATATTCTCCAAAAGGTCATTTCTTATTGATGGCAATCAATAGCTGTCCCAATGACTTCAGAACGGTAAACCCAGCTAAGCCATACGTCATCAAACACCACACAATCTACTTATGGTATATAAAGAAGAAATCATCGAAAGCTGGTGAACACTGCATAAGATCATTACTAAACCTCTGGAAAAATGAGTGAAACGTCGAAGATACACAAAAAGAGAAAGGCAAATATTAAAGAGGGTGGAAAACCTATAGGAGATATCATAACAAACTTGCAATACACTACTATTCAATTTCTAAAAAAAAAACCTAAAAACTTATAGAGAAAGTCTATAAACAGAAAATATTCATGAGAAAGAATATTCATAAAGATGTATAGGAAAAAGACAGAGTACCAAAGGAAGAAGAATGATTTCATGGTGGTCTAGCACTGCAACACTCCACTTACTTGTGAGGAGAAAGAAAAGATCTCAAACTGCTATAAGCTAATTGAAATAGGAGGGCTGGAGTTTACTGTTTCTTTGCCCTTTTTTTTTTGTTTTTTTTTTTTTTAATCAATCTCCTATTAAAATAGGAGTCAATAAGGCTCTCAATATAGGTAAAGGAGCTGTCTGGTATAGGAGTCAATAAGGCTCTCAATATAGGTAAAGGAGTTGTCTGGTAAAAAAAAAAAGAAACATAAAAGAAACATAATGGATCTTTCGTTATCAGAAACACTTCCATTTTCCTGCAGGAACTTCTTTACTGTTTGGAATAGCATCCCCCTTTCACCTCATTGTTCTGCTCTCCTATTACCATGAACAGGTGCTAATGAAGATAAGCCATACTTAAGGGTTTAAAACTGAGCTCTGGTTGCATATCTGTGATGGAGTCTGCATCAGAAACCTCAGCCAACTCCCGCAGTCATTTAAAGGAAGACAGGAAAAGATGACGTTTGGGTTTCAGTTCTTTTGCTCCATTTCTTTTTCCTTATAAGTGAATAAGCAGTCACCACCATAAAAAACCCCAGATCTATAAACTACACATTGCTACACATCTGATTTCCGCTTATATGAAGCTGTATTTTAAGCCTAGTCTGGTAGCAGCTATTCACAATGTTACATCCCAGCATCTTCTTTAAATCCTATCACAGAAGATTCATTCATTTCCTCTCTTACTGAAAGAGGAGGGGGAAATGGCACATTTAACCTCACGCTGAATGCTTAATTTCTCATGAGACAGGCTTACTAATGGAAATCAGGGCTGCAACATGGGATAAAGCACTTCTTAAAAAAAGATCTTTCCTCTCCCTGCTTGTCCCTAGCTTGGGCTCCCAGCCCGGGAAGCCCCATGCCATGAAGGAGCAGGAGGAGGGTGTGGAGATTTCAGAAGACGTGTGGACATGTTTCTCTCTCGCCCAGAAGAAGGTGGCCATCCTTGATGGCTCAGCCCTGCCTGAGGCTCTGCTTGCACCTCCTTTCACTAAACACCATGGGACAAATTCCACAGGAAGAGTGCCAGTGCCCCTGCCTCCCCCAGCTCCCCACCCAAAACCAGTCTGGTATGAAAAGCAGCAGTCCCACGAGAAGATAAAACACCTGAGCCACACAGGCTGTAAGGATCACGTGAACCCCTTCCAGCATCACTTCCCAGCCCTCTCCTTTCCACAACGCACACCTCACAAACCTCATTGACCCTTTGTCGTACTCTAACCTTCTCCATTAATTAACCTACCCCTTCTGGCTGCTTCTGCTCCAGAATGCAATCTACTGCTATGTCAAAAAGGGCTTCTTCATCTCAGGGGAACAACAGCTTCGTGGTGAATGTATTATTTGCAAATAATAAGCACAGACAGCAACAATTCCCATATTCAGCTGACAGTAAGTAGGTGGCCATACAGTTAAACAAAATCTGTGAGGAAAGTGTCATGCAAGGTGCCATTCATGACTGCAATACGGGCCTGTGGCAAGAAAAGGCATTGCCTGCAGGAAAAATTATATATAAAATACTTTTAGTTGTCTTTAAATCTAGAGAGCCTCCAGCTCTCTCCTCAGTACTTGCACGCACTCCGGACATCTCCAAAACACATCTTCATGGTACGTATGAAACTGTGCGGCTGGGTAGCAGTTCAAGTAGCTCTGATACTGATGCACGAAGACCAAAATTTTATTTCCACAAAATTCCAGGCTTTAAATTGGTTTCCACTATTATTTGTGCTGGTTTTCAAAATCACGTGCTTTCAGAAAGGGAAAAGGAAAGGGGTTCAATAAAGTCAAAGCAAATAAATGTTTGCTTATTCAAAAAAAATTTTTAGTTGTTCCCCCCACCTCAAAGGGCTGTTTGTACTTCAAGAATTTGGAAGTGCGTTCTCCCAGGAATACTGATGAAAGGCACTTTTTAGCCCTTCCAGCTAAAATAATCATTGGCTCTACAGTAAAACCTCCCACTCCAGTGGCATCAGTAGTATCCGTTGGGATAAGAGGGCGCTCATTCTCAGAAAAGCACCTCACGGCCACCGCCTCACCTAAGCGAAGCCTCACTACAGACAACCTGGTTTTAAGCTGATATATGGGTCTCTGCGAGGAAGCGTCACCCAAATTATAACCAAATGAGGGTTTGCTATAATTGTAACGTACAACAAGGTTAAATGAGTTTGCTCTACTGCATGAAACCACCGGCATAAGAAATTTGCGTCCTGTTCCTTCCAGTGATTCTTACATTTCAGACAACTTTTTATGTTTGTTTGTGTTTTTTTTTTTACAATGAGCCATATTTCCTCTCCCCAGCAGTATTGTTACTATCACAAACAGTGCTTGTCAGTCTGGGTGTCTACAGCCATGGAGAGAGGAAGAGTGTACAAGGTAACGGGTTACAGCTTCACCTACATGATGGTTTGTTTTAATGATTTGAGAACTCAAGTAAAGATCCCTTACACCTACAAATGACAAAGAGAAACCAACAGCTGCATTTCTTAACAATATTCATGTCCTTTTCTACTCTGAACAGTGGATGGGTTTCGATATTAAGAAACACGACAGACAACACCTGGTATTTTAAATGACCATTGAAGTGTTTTGTCAAAACAGGTAAACTCTAATTCTCTCCATCAGTAACTCAAGCTCTGTCTCCATTTTTGCAGCCCTGCACTTCAACCCCTGGTCCTGGTGCAGCTCCATCGCTTGCACACTTGACAGATGCAGTTCCCAAGTCCTCCTCAATGTGAAGCCGTAAGCGCCCATTCACAGGGCAGTGGCTTCACAAAGCTGAAGCCCCCATTTGCAATCAAAACTTAGACACAATCCTCTCTTGTATTACATTACTTACAATACCTACATAACTCTAATTAGTCAGGATTTGCTCTCCAGTGGGACACAGCTGCAGGATATTTGCAGAGAGTGCCTGCTAAATCGTATTTTTAATTCAAGAGGAAAGGAAGAACAGCAAAGTCATAGGGAATGCAAAACCCCGCAGCAAGGATAATCATGAAAGAAGCCCAGTATATCTATCAGCACCATCTCAAGAAGCCCCATTTGCTCTTGGCCAGCCTCCTATATAGACCCGCTTACTCCCCCCAGTTATTCCCTCTATTTCACTCTTTGGTTCAGCACACATCTACAGAAGGGAGAACTTAAAACAGTCTCTGCTTCATCACCCATGAGCAGCTCCAGCATAGGTTTCAGGCACGACCAATAGTTTCATGAAGGGACCAAGTATCTCAGAACATTTTACTTTGCTGTTAAACACAGTCATTATTTCAACTGTTAAAAGATCTGGAGAACCAGCAGCTTGATTTGGAGGTGCAAACTCAGTGCTAAGTCACTGCTGAGCTTTGCTGAGCTTTAACGTCTGCCTGACTGCTGGAGCTCTGTGATGAAACAAGCTGGTTTTGACTGGAGCTTCCAGTTAAAATATTCACACTTACACCTGTTCCACTGGGCTGAGATTTTATTACCTATATATTCTATGGAGTGCAAAATGGGCATTAAATAACATAAAAGAACATGGCAGTCCAGCATGATGACGTTAGGGATATCTCATGCTGTGCAAATAGTCAAAAAGTCACCTGATGTGCCTGTGCTGCTGCCGTTTGGCATCCTCTCCCAGCCTGTTTAGGGATGGCGACCGGCTCCGGGAGGACGGAGTGTAACTCCCCACAGTTTTTACAGTTCCATTAGGATTATTCTGCATCTGTTGAAGTAGATGAGGTGAAAGGCTGCGGTGTGAAGAAGCAGAGGAGGAGGCTGACCACTCAGGGAGGTTGTTGATGTTCAGATTGTTGTCACTATTGGAACGAAGCAAGATCCGGGGTGCTGCTAAGGTGCTCGGGGGTCTCCGCCTTCTGTTTGAATAGGTGGGAGCCTCTCTAAAGGGCACTGTGGAAAGACAGACATCCAGGGTAATCTCAGATGACTTCACCATTTATATGCATTCACCACCCCATAAAAAGATTTAGCAACATATGGCACTGTTTCTTCTGTGGAGACAGAAACTCTACCTTGCCTACAGAGCTAATCGAATTCATAATCTTCAAAACATCACTAAAACCGAGAACAACTGGGCAACATCAACCTGTTTACTGGCTTCAAGAAATAGTCAGGCAACACTGGCAGCATGAGTCTGCCGAACAGTCTGAACTCCGGCCTAGGAAACAGGGAACACCTCATTATTGCCAAGTTTGAGCCTCAGAAAGTTGATATTTGTGCTATGTTGTCATATTCAGTCAGAAAGCCATGGAACAGGGCTGAGTGGCAGAATTTTCGATGTGTGGTCTTCTAACTTCCTTCTCCCATTGGCACCCAAACTGGGAGGGTTTTGCTCCATCGCGAGTTCAGGCCTAACCCGAAGTCGGCAGTGTTAACAGTCACCTTAGCCCCATCTTCCAGGTTAAAAATCGAGGACACTGATTTTTCTCCTGGCAGAACTCTATTACACTGCTGTAATCCCTAGGTATTCCTCTCTTTCTAATCTAGGCTTTTCTACCGCATCTATTACTATTGCATATAGAGCATATTACCCGAGGGTAATACCCTCACCTCATCACGTGCCGTGTCCTGAAGAGAACATGCCTGTATCCAAAGGCTGCAATACACTACTTAATGAGAGTCGCAATGGAAAACAAAAGCAAGGGCAATAAAAATCTAATACAACCAGAGGGCCCAGCCTTTCATCACTGTTATCGGTGCAGTGCTGCAGCCAGACGAGGATTTGTACAAGCAGACACTACATTTCCCAGCTCTCCTTTTCTCACTGTAGTGGCTCAGTTAATTCCAAGTGCAACTTAAAAGGCAAATTTCCTCCTAAAAGGCACCCAGCTATCACTAGATGCCACAGCATTTCCTACCCAATCTTACAAGGTAATAAAGGATCTGACCCCGAAACCTTGTGCTTGCCTCGGTCCCCACTCATGAAACTACTCTCATTTATTTCAGTGGAACTCATGGGGTCGCAGGATTCGATCCAAAGTGCGCGTATTTACACCTGAAAAGTGGCAGCAGTAGAGCTGACAAAAGGCAGACAGGCATTACTCTGAGGACTTTATTGAGCTGTTGTAATTTGCAAAAATCATCTTTCAATTGGAAAAGAAGCCTCACAAAATATCATCCTACATGTCTAAAGTGCCAGTAAGTGCCATTTATAAAGTGCCAGAAATGTCTACGCATTCAATACCCTTCAAAACCACACAAAACCCGAATAAGAATGTCTGTCATACTGTGCAAGTAAATAAATTCACATAAATAGGAATATACATAGGAATCAATCTGTCCTGCTTTGAAATACAGCCCTTAATTGAGAGAAATTTAGGGTTTCAGAGCAAAACTGAAAGCGTATTTATAACAAAATAAAGATGGAACTGCAAGTAAAAGAATGGTTTATGTAATTTCCACCAGAATCAGTTTATGATTAACTGGGATTCCGTATATTTTAAAATAACATCCCTCCTATTTCTAATGAGCCGAAACTTTCTCTGGTAAACAGCTCAACAACATCAGAACAACCAAACGAGAGAACTGTGTGTATGGAGCAAAAGGGCTTTAAATTAATTGCCCTAATATTTCACTTGAAACAAGGCTGAAATAAGGGAAGTCGTCTTTAAAAGCTGTGAAAAGGGATAAAGCAGAGAAGTCCAATATTTATGCTAGGAACTGGCAGAAACTCTGTCTAATTTTCAGAATATACTGTTTTCCATATTTCCTTTTTTTTTTTTTTTTTTTTTTTTTTTTAAGTTTTCAAAGCAGCAGAGTGTGTCACTGAAAGCACCCTGGTGCTTCAAATGTCACGGTGAAAGCCCCGGTTAGTACTGACTTAAAGAAAACTCACAGCATTTATTTCTAAAATCGACATATACAGCACTTCTAGGCTGATGTACAGACAGAGACGCGCCATTTGTGCGTTCCTGTATCACTGACATTGGGAGTACGGCTCTAGAAATTATTTCATTGAAGACAGGGATCCTTCCTAGGTACAATAAAGCAAAATAGCTACTGTAATAATTTCAGTAAAGGAGGAAGCATGCAACCCCGAATACAGGGAATGCTTTGCACATACAGGTTTGCTACCCGAAGGTCTAATGCTGTTCTCTTAGGGTCAGCAAAGTTTGACTCTGACTTCAGTATAAATTGGATCTGACCCTCAGATTTTAATATTTTATGAACTTAAACAGGTTAACACTCCAAGCAGCCTGCCGAGCCTGCCAGCCACAGCCTGATAAAACAAAACATTGCCAACATTTTGGGGGATGTTTACTGTAAGTGTTGAGAGGTTGGTGGGATATCTTCTGGTGGGAGTGCGAGGGAGCACGAGGGGCACAGGGCTCTGGCACGGCGACAGGACGGATGGAAAATTGCTGAGCACGTTTATACCCACGGATTTTAGAAAACACAAAACCGGTGCATTCATTCCTACTGAAAAGCAGGGAATGTTTTGCATGTACACGCACTCTCCAGGTACCAGATCAAATGAATTCTTTTTCCCTTACAAACCACAGAAGGATTTTCCATGACCATTTCAGAGTTAGCTTTTGCTTTGCTACTAATGTTCTCTTCTTTAGGAGAGAACTACAAGCAAAATTAGCCTTTACTACAGAAAATAAACAGGCAAGGGGACAACTAATTGCACCAATTGACGTGTGTCTAACACAAATCTTTTATAGAAAGAGTTAAAAATAAGCATTTCCGTGCCTAAAGTGATTAATATTCCACCCAACTGTTTCTTTTCCCCAGCAATCTGCAAACTGTAAGTGGGTGGATATTTTTTTAGCTGCTTCTTATAGACATTATTTATATTATTTTCACAATAAAAAGATAAGTACAACACAAAATGATGAAATGCAAATGTCCACGCTTTAACCCCTGTTGGACACTGGTTTTTCCCTCATATTTCACCCTGTTCAGAACTGTAAGAATAACTGTTGCAAAACTTGATTGGGAGAAAACACTTGATATAAAACGACATGAAAATGTCTGAACTCATTTCATGCCCCTGAAGTTTAAAATTATCATCCCTAAAAGCATACCTGAAAGTACCATTTAATCCTTCCTCCAGCTCTCAGAATTCTATTCCTGGCATTTCATACATCTGAAGGGGCATTTCAGCACCATTCCCTGACAAAATTCACCTAGGAAATTCCTTCTGTGTCTTCAAATGCATTTCTTAGGGAACAAAAACATTTTTATAACTCCTTGACTCTTCAGAGAAAAAGCTAAAATGAAGAAAGTCACATCCAGCCTTAAAAATCAGTTGCCTAAATGGACTGTCTAACACCAAATAATTTTGAAAAAGAAACTGCAGGAATTGATTAATTATAGAGTCACTAAGCCGATCATATTAAATGTACACAACAAAACACCGGTCTGAAAGAGCAAAGTGTTCTGCTTTCATTGCTTACCTTCTTTCTTTGTGAAGGCATTTAACAAAGACTTCATTTTCCCTTTTTACTTTAGCAGCAATCCCCTCATTATATAACCTTTGCTGGGAAGAAAGAGGCAAAATAAAAAATAAAATAAAATAAAAAATAATAATAAAGCTACCCAATTTCTATGTGTTCAGGCTGCCTGCACCCTGACATAAGCAGCAGGTTTCTGGGCACTGTGTAATTGCGAGCATAGCCGGGCATGCAGTACCCAGCGTTCTGGTGACAAAGCCCACCCCACATTCTGTCTGTCAGCTGGGAGCCAACTGTGCATAGACTGGAGCTGCTCAAAAAAAAAAAAAAAAAAAAAAAAGAAAAAAAAATCTTCCTATCTTTCACAGCATTAGTCATGTGAACACCACCGCCACAGCCTTGCAGACGATACTTTTGCTTCCGCGAGCGCTGCGTTTGTGCAGGAGTGAACGCTGGGCTGAGGGAGGTGGCCTGAGCTCCGATGGGGCCAAAAATTCATATTTGCAAAGGGCAGGGGGGAGCGAGGCGGGCAAAGGTGCTGCGCAGCGGCACTCCGCAGGCTGCAACCGGGAAAGGGAAACCTTGACAGAGATGAGAGCTGCTGCAGAAGTGCATTTAGCCTTTAAACTTGCACAGCTGACTCTCAGTGCGCAGAGGCTTTTTGCCATTTACTTGCCTTTTGCCATTTACTCGCCCTTTGCCATTTACTCGCCCTTTGCCATTTACTCGCTTGCTTATCACAACGCTCCCAAGAGCCAATTTGAGGAAATGTACAAATCACACCAAGCTTGACACTGTGACGACATTAAGAACGGAGACAAAAATGCCACTAAACAAAGTATCTTACCATGGCCTATATTCCAGTCTGAAACAGATGAGATACAAGCACAATTATTTTCCACTCCCACTGCACTGGAATACAAAAGAATTTCTTTTTGCACAGGGGGAAAATACAAAAATTTGACCAAATCTTTTTGCTAAATTCAGTGCAGATGCCTGAATCTAAATGATGTAGCCATTGCAGTTTGAAAGTACTAACTCTGAAAAAAAAAAGTCTATAGATAGCTATGCCAGTGCACACATGCTCCCAGAGGAAGAGCAAATAACTGAAATGGGCAGATAGGAAGCAGGGGGGAGGTGCTAACAATCACAAAAAAATTAAGCATAACTAGTTAAAAATGTAAGATATAAAGATTCCAACGACTAGGAAATGCAGCATTTCAAAAACCAGAGTAACCTACATCAAAAAATTGTCTTCAAAGAGTATAAACTATATAATAGTTAATAAATATTTATTTCATTTCAGGCATCTCTGCTGATTGTTAATGCATCAATTTTGGAAATTAGGCCTTTTTCTCACTGAGAAAACTGCTTCAAGACAGACAGAAAATAAATTACTTAAATGGATTTAACCTCTGTATGCATAATGATCTCATATTTAACACAACACTGAAAAGAACTAGTAAGCATAAATAAATTGAATAGTTTAAA